TTAAAAAAGTCGTAAACTTCTCAGAAATTTGCGTTTATGAGTTAAGGATGCTCGTAAAGTATTAGCTGGATTAATCACAGCGTGAGACGACCCGTATTGAGTAACTGGAAGATATACCACACAATTTGAACATGTAAACTAACATCCCATCAAACGCCTGCACGGGAAAAAAAAGCAAAAATTTTCTCTAAAAAACGTATGAAACCACTTGAAACAGTACGAGGAACATTGTCTCTGTTAACAAAGTACCTACCTAACTATAAATTAATTTTGTTTCCTCGACTTTGTCATTAAAAGAGATAAAATGGAAATCAATGTGTTTAACTAAGATCATTCAATATCCAGATAATATGAATCCAAGCACTTTCATTAAAGACGTGTTTTTAAATTGTTTATTAAATGTTTTAATCATCGCGATCATTTCTTTTAATGCAAAATTAATTTCAAAATTAAACTGTATTGAATCGTCACGTATTTCCATACCTTTTAATTTAAAAGTTATATAAGTCGAAGTATTAAAAGATAAGGCGATCTTCTCTGCCAATTCCAGTTTCTAATTAAGAAACTAATTATCTCTCGCACATATATTTTAATAATCATCTTATTTATGACCGCTGTAATTAATACAAAATCATACTAAATTATTTTTAATATTCCCAAAAATTTATTTGAAACTCTCCAATTTACGTTTGACTAATTATTATTATCTACCTCGTTATCGCGTTAATTGACAGTAAGTACGTTTTTGTATGATCATCAGCATCGTTTAAGATAAAGCTTAAAGATTATATACACTCTGTCCTCTTGTACGAGGTAATTACAATTCCAGTAACTGTAATGAGTGCGAGGATACTATTAATATTACTTTTTAAATGTCATTGAGTTAGCGTGCCATTTTGTTTACCTATAGACCTACGGTATAGTCGAAATGGCTGATGAAGACGGAGAGAGTAACCATACTGACTAGTTCCAAAAAAATCGCCTTTCCCAGTTAATGTGTAAATCCAGTCGCCTTAACGTTCTTCTCAGATTGAAAATATTTCCTTATTGGATTGATACGCCTTCAGCTTTTCTTAACTCTAGGTGCGTTTTGGTTGATAATAGTATAAATTCTGCAGAGTTCAAAGTTCCTGAACTTATGCGCGATTAGAAATACTTTATTTCGGGCGAATACACTATTCTATTTTTAGTTTGCGCAATTGTAAACGAAATCAATTTGCAGTCGCTCAAGCTTACTATAGACAAAGTACTTGTACCGCTAGTACGAAACCGTGCAACAATTAGCATACCGTGTCACGTATTTCCCAATGCAAACGAAACCATGCAACTTATTGCAATAAGGAGCGTATACATAGGGATACGCGGACGATCTTGCGATCGTCATAACTGGAATGTTTCCAAACACCGTGAAAGAGCTCATGTAGGGGGCTCTTGAACGGGTGGATAGGTGGTGCAGTAGGCATGGTCTTTTCGTTAACCCGGAAAAGACCGGGTTTTTTTACGAATAGGAGGAGGGCCGTGTTTGATGGAGCAACTTTTTTTGACCTGAAAAGGGCACATTGAGCGAATAAGCAAAAAGGCCACTGCATTGTCTATGGGCATATAGAAGGTTGTACATCGGGCTTGAACCCTCTATAGGTATATTGGCTGTAGTGATAAGGCCAATCATACTGTACGGTGCACTTGTGGTACTTCTGGAACTAGAGCCTGTAGAGCAGAGGCACGGAAGGCTTCCATACGACCAAACCATTGGGACGAGTGGAAGAATCGAGGCAGCGTTGAGCACGGATGGCCCTGGGAGGAAACCCTCGGATCCGATCCCATCCTCACAAGAAGGGATGTGATCCAGGTTGTCTTACTAAGACCGAAGTATTATAAAGTCACTCTCCCAGATAGGGAGCAGTGGATAGAACTGCTAGAAGTTGTTACCGGATTGAAAGTGGTAGTAAGTAACAAAACTATACATATACAGGAACATAATATTTCCACCATAAAGTCGAAGTGTGCGCGGGGATGGGGTCTAGTCCGACTGCCGGGGTAGAAGGGTTAGCTAGGTAAATGATTAGCGCTGCGACTGAAGTTCTCGAGCCCAACAGGAGTTGCGCTCGGGGTTGAGATGGCTGATCGGGGTTTCTCCAGGGTGTCGGCTTTAGATCGTGTACTTTTTATCAAATCGTTTCGTCGCGTCGTTTGATCTAGCAAGCGGTCGTGCCCGACAGGGCTTCTATTTTGCATGGGTCCGTGTACTTCAAGTGAAGGTTCTCGGCGTGTTGGTCCCCGTTGAGATTGGGTGCGGGCTGGTCCGTAATTCGCGTAGTGGCTGCGGTATCGAGCTTGGTTTACATTGCCTCCTCTCTGCGCCTCCCTGGGGGTGAGGGTGGTGTTCCCCGACTTTCCACTTGCTAGGACTGGGTAGGTCGTGGCGTGGCGGTGTTCTTCTTTGTTCGCAGAGTAAAAAGCACTATCGGAAGGCGCCCGGATTCTTCCCTATGAGGTGCGTCCGGGGTTCTTGATTACGGCGTTCGAAGGGGTTTGTCTGGGGGTGCCAGGTGGGCGTTGTTCAATGTTGATGTTGATTATTTAGGAAAGCTGTATCTCGCGAAAAACTGTCCTCATTGGGAATTCTTCTACTCACATGCTGAAGGAAGGTCTGTGATGACAATTATGTGGTGGTACGCTGTGGGTGTAGCGTTGTAGGGGCCCATAATATTCACAGAGACGGACTCCCAGCGTTGTGTGGGTTGGAGTGTGCGAACTGATGCGCGTTGTCTCTTCACTGCGGCGCAAACCCAACATCTGCGGACGTAGTCTGTGGCGAGTGCGCCCATTGTAGGAAATAAGTAAATCTACACGCGTATAGGACTGTGTCGTGGGTTTCCTTTGGAGCGACAAGGTGTGGTCCTTGTTCGCCGTTTCTGTATCATAATAATAATAATAATATATTTATTGCGTAAATGTAAAACAAATACACAAAAGGCAAAAATTTGACGTGGTCGATCTTCCATTCTGCCAAAGTAAATTAAATATAATGGCACAGCTTTGCTATAATATAACTTACATTATAATTATAATTAGTAAATAACGATACAAAAAAAGAGACAAATTAAAGATAATAAAATAATAAGTGTAATAATATGCTTTAAGTGCAAGTTAAACTTTAATTTTTCCTAGTATTAAAGACTCATTGACATTAGATTTGAAGTTAGGGTAACTTAAATTTATAAATTCAAAAATTAAATTAAGCGTATGGGGAGCCACATAGGCAAAGCATCCCTTATATTTAGAAGTCCTATGTTTAGGTATGTGATATTTTAACTTTCTTATATTAATGCTGTGTAGACCGCTTCGTTTTACGATACATTCAGTTAAATAACTTGGACTGTTATACTTTATCAACTTCCATAGGAAGGTAGCCATAAGTTGGAAGACTCTTTCACGTGTTTTGAGTTCGCCTAATTTTGTATAGATGGGTGTTATATGATGACCGAAAGGAATGGGATGAACAAATCGTAAGCAAGCATTTTGCAGTTTTTGCAACTTTGCCTTATTGTAGTCCGGTAGAAAATTAAAGTAGACTGCAGAACAGTAATCTGTGTGTGGATAAATGAGCGATTTCACTAACATGAGCTTTGTTGCCACGTCCAGTTCCGACTTAAGATTATAATATAGATTTTAATTTACAAATACTAATGCTAAATAGCTTATTTATATGTTGCGAAAAACTAAAATTATCATCTAATATTAAACCTAAATTTTTGGCGGATTGAACCCATTGTATTTGAACATTATTAACATATACATGTAGACTGTCCAGGTGAACGTAGTTTTTATTAGTTTTATTACTAACATATAGCATAGGGCAATTGTTTTATCGGGATTAATACGCAGCCCATTATGTAAGCACCATTCAGATATTTTGTTTAAATCTATGTTAAGTTGGCTTATTGTCTGAGAAATGCTAGGTATATCACAAGAGATGTATAATTGCAAGTCGTCTGCGTACATGTGATAACGGGCGTATTTGATTACCGATGGCAGTGCACTGACATAAATTAAAAATAATATCGGACCCAAAATACTGCCTTGAGGTACGCCTGCGGAAGTTTCCAGTGAAGGTGAAATTTGGTCGTTATATAAATCCGATTGAGACCTTTGTACTAAATAGCTCTTGAATCACTCACGAGAGTTAGAGTTAAAACCGAGGTGTTCCAGTTTTGAGAGCAGTAGATCAAAGTTAACTAAATCAAAAGCTTTACTTAAATCTAGTAAGACTATGAAAGTAACTTTGTTATTGTCTATATTTTGAGAGATATCGTTTACCACCTTCAGCAACGCCGTTTGGGTACGGTATCAGGACGTGTTCTTGCAGGAACTTTCTCTGTTGCTTGTCTGTGGGTTCGTGTTTTTGGTACTGTTCCCATGCTCGGATTAATATTTGGGCGACGTGGTTGGTTATCTGATTGTGTTTCACACGGATCGCTACTTCCACGTTAGCTATAGCTGGACCGATGCATTGGGAGTTCCGGGACTAGCATTCGTTTCAGATCCGGACCTGTTTCTTCAGGGGCTGTTTCAGGGTTCCGCTAGGTGATTCTCCTCCCCAGCGCAGTGTTCGACCCAGAACGTGAACTCTTGCACTCTAGTCTAGTCATAGCAGGGCTCGACTGTCGGTGCGTAAGGTAAAGCGACGGTCTTCTAGGTACGGCATGTACCGCTTGATCGTCCACGTCACCGCTAGTCACACCTGCTTGCCCCCGTGGTACCTACTTACATTGCGCTGAGATCTGCTTGAAGGATGAATGGCGGGTTGCCGTGATAGCCACTGTTGTAGGACCGATTTTAATTCTTGAAAAGCTCCGTATACCGCGGCTGTCCAAGTGAAGCGGATCCCCTTTTTCAGTAGGTCGATCAGCGGGTTTTGTAATGCTGCGCAGCGGGATATGTAGTCTGTCAGCCAATTGCTAGGTCTAGAAAGCTACGCAACTGCTTGCGGGTTGTGGGTTGTTCGGAAGCGCGTAGGCATCACCGGTCCGGTCCCAAAAGAGGCTGGTTATCCTCTGCGGAGATTATGTGATCGTAAGTGTGTTGCTGGAGACGGATTACGCGAAGGTGGGCCAGGTGTACTTTCCAGGTGTTAGAGTAATGTCGTCACGGTAGACCATCGCAAATTTCCGTCATTAGCCGGGGTGTTATTAGTTTTTGAAACGTTGATGGTGCGTTTTTGAGGTGGAATGGTATTGCTCTGAATTGGTGGCAGGCGCCGCCGCCGTCTGGAGTGGTGAAATCCGCCAGTGCGCGTTCCAGTTAAGTATATTTCAGTGACCCGAACAGTCAAAGTTACACTTTTTTAGATTCGAAGAGGAGTATTGATTAATAAAATAAAATTAACATATAATTGATTAACGTATACGTTAATCAATGGTTGGATACAGCGAGGTCGAATTCGCTAAGAAAATACCTTTTACCTCAAAAGTAATCGATTTGCTTCTAGATATTATACCAATTCCTCTCTACACAAACTAAGTGACTTCCTAATCTTTGGATGTATGATTTTACAACAGCCGATAGAAAGGGGTGGAAGTGAGCTTTTTCTTGTAGATGAACGATCTTGAAGATAAACGAATAATGGTCTAAATTACATACGACAACAATACTTTTGAGAATAAGATACTAATGAGAATATTTAAAGGAAGATATGTTTCGTCTTGTCTCTGAAATATTGGTGTAATAAAATGAAAAAAATTTAACGATCTAATTAATCCGTTGAACAAGTACAGAGCTGAGTAAAAAATAGGTAAAAAAAACTTGTGCTTGTCCGATTGACGATGCCCACGTAGAATTACTATTCATACGATTAGTTTTTAGTTTTGAAATTATTAAAAGTTGTCATGCTGTTATATTTACTCTAATATTCTAATTAATATTCACTGATTTAAATAAATCTAACGGTCATTATCTCATCCTCCCGAACAAAATTGATGTAGGTATTTTAAATTCCATAATATCCATTTAATCGTATGCATTTATATCTTTCACATATTTTATGTACTTTATTGACAGCTTTTTTTATTACTAACCACGCTTAAGTGTACTAATTTGAATTTGGGGTTAACATAATTAATGCGTCGAGTAAAGTAGCAGGTTCTTAAGGAACGTACCAATTAAAAACTGAGCAGCCAATGGCGGTACTATTTACGCGGTCATTATTTATGAGAGGTTTACGACCCTTTCTATACTGTCCATATGCAATGAGTTCAATTGATATCTCGATAACTTGCGTAAAACGATTTTATCTTTTAATGCCACCTACAAGTCAATATTGATATCAAGGTCCTTTATTCAGGTTGCACCTTTTTAAAAGTGCATTTTAGTTTGCTGGCAACTTCAAGTTTACTCAATTACTGACAAATTAGAGTTATCTTGCCCACGCGTTCTTTCTGCATAAATTATTTTTGAGATGAAAAACTCTGCATTGGGGCGATCCACGTGCTACATTATAAAAAATACAGAATCTAAGGTGATTACCATAAAAATACACTTTAGCTTGTTCTATTGCATTATAAATAAATTTAAAGCTCGCACAATATCTGTTCAGTATAATATTGAGATATAAAGCCTATGTGTGTTCAATGGTGAGCAGTATGTGGTAATTGACTGGAACCCATTTTAGTAATCCAATGGTAATTATGTTGTTCACGTCTTGATATTTTCTTTTAAAGTAATCCGGTAGGTATACGCGATTGAAACAATGAACGCCAAATCTTCACCGAGTGCGTGGGATTATTAATACATATACATATAAATTAAAAACCTACGCAATCGACCAACTTTTAACTTAATTATGTACATAAACAGGATAATCTGTCAATTACGTGAATAGTTTCCCTAATGCCACCCCAAAAAGGAGTACGACTGCTTGATAATGCGGTGATTACAGTCGCAATTAGTGGCCATAATTTGCAATATTATGGCCTAGTCCATAATGATAAAGTAAAACGGCCGCCTGTCAATGTGCCAGTCGTTCTTAGGTGTCAATCCAAGGTAAACTCAAGTATTTTAGAAATACTTGACAAATGCTTGACATCTGTTGTCAATGATATATATATATTTTATAGTTTATTGAATTCCATGAAATTTTCATTTTTAAGGGTTGTTGCAGTCGTACATAAAGCTTTGTATATATCGCGTCCATAAATAGGCTTTATTGGGACTCTTCTTGTTTATTTGTGCCGAGCGAGCTGATAAACGGCTCGTCCATAAAGACCCAGTTTATGTACTTGATATATAAATAGTTATTATGTGAGCTTGCACGATCACCGTATAAATCAAGGAGACGTTTTTGGGCTGTCGATTTTCTATATTATGTACTGCATTTATTTGTATTCTATTCATTTCTGAGCGGTTAAAGTCAATATTTGATGAAGAGAAAGGATAACGTTATTTTGCAATGATAAGAGATAGTAAGAGAGGTAGTCCATAAGGGTTCGTACTGAATTTGAAGAGATGAACACGCTTCTGTGGAGGGCGTAATGGGTTAACCGATTTTCACATAATTGGTTTTATTGGACACAGCTCTCCTCGTGTAATCAGATTAAGAGTCTTTTTAGTAAAGGTGGTGAGTGATAGAGGGCGCGCTTAGACATTAACATAAACTTTTTAGATTTTCTCGTAAATTTAAACGATGTAATTTATATATTATACAATCAAATAAGATGAGAATACGGAAATATCCGTAAAAACTACATTTCGATATCTGTTTCCTAAGGAGAGATATGGCGAAAATACGCACATCCGCCATCTTGGTGATATATTTTGTGAATGTGCGCATGTTGGCCATATCTCTGCTTAGGAAACAGATATCAAAACGCGGTTTTCACTCATATTTTTACTTTGTCATCTTATTTGATAATATCATGTAGATAATAATAATATTGTTCCATACCCGCGGCCTCTACCACTCATCACGTTTCCTAAAAAAAACTCTGAATCTGGTTACACGAGGAGAACTCTTTCCGAATAACGGACTTATAATACTTTTTAAATGCGACTACGATTATTTACAATTCTGTATCGAAAGCCATTATGCACAAATGTTATTTCACGGAATTTCAACGAATTAAAATATTTCACCTTTGAACCCTGACCACGGCCGTCTGAATTCAGAAGGGCGCTCTCTGCCAATATCTGCACTTAAATAAAAATTTAGATACTTTATAAGCCACTTTGTATGACGAGAACTTTCTCGTTCACTGCAAGCCTATGCTGAAAATCTTGCGATCTGTTTTTTAATGACCCGAGTGAAATACAATTCACTCGGGTCATTATTTCACTCGGGTCATTAAAAAACAGACCTTGGCAGTGTTTCTAGATGCCTCTGATTGAAATTAAAACTTCGGAGTGAGTCACTTTTTCTTTCGTTATTACGTGTTTTCTACCAACTGACTGCTTTTCAATTTTAATTTCCCGACGCTTATGTATTTGGGGTCTGCAGAATTACCTACTTATCTCACTAATGGCTTCTCTTCAAATATGAAAACCATTATCCACATACTCTTAACTTATTCTTAATTTTTCCAATTTCGGTGGTGAGGTAGTTGGCCCAACTTGAAGAATTTTTATATTTTATACATTGTCAATAAATTAAATACTGCCTACTCTTACTTAGGCTAAGTGTATTGTTCCGTACAAGATTTATATGATGTAAAACCGAAGAGCAGCTGTGCAGCTATCTATATTCCTACGATCACAAGAGGATTACACAAAAGCACGAGTACTTAATTCTTGTAATTTATACCATTTCCTAGAATTGAATGAACGCCATAAATCTGAGCGCTAATTTTTTGGTGTGTCCATTCGCAAAGATGAATTAGCGGTTTCATTGTATGCGCACTTCTGCCTGTTGTGACATTCGGCGGCTTGTTTTGACGCAAGTTCTTGCGGTAAAAAGAAATATCTCCTGCAATTCTCGAAAGTATAATTATTATAATCATTGACATCGGCATTCGAGGCTGTTAATTCCACTTCGGTTACAAATTTATAGTACAACTGTACATTAGGTCTCATTTAAATGTCTGATATGTATCTAGTTGCATTAAAAATTATGCCGCCGAATTTCCTTTCATAAAATTTGCTTCGTTAATTTTCAAAGTCGATCTAAAAAACTCGCATCAAATACGCTATAAATCAACGGATTACCATGTCATATAATCAAAGAAATTTCGAGATATTAATTTAAATGTTACACGGATCATTATTTATATCTTAATTGTAACAAAAACTTGCTTCGGAATCCTTGAGCTAAATCTACTTTCATTTAAATATTTCACGAACATCTATGAAATTGCGTAAAAGTACGAGTAATTCCTTCGAATTCACAATTTTCACAAAATTAGCGTATGATTTGAGCGCAAAAAACTACAACACGCTAATAGAATTTCGCAATTAATAACGTTATGAAGACCACCAACTGGTTAATGTTCGATCAACAATTATTTAGTCATTATAAAACAAGGAACTGTACCCGGCATTCATGTTAATTGATTTATGCGATGCAGTACAATTATTACATACAGGATGAATGGTTGTTATTAATCAATTGATAATTGTACGAGGTAGTTCTGTAAGAATTTTTTTTATTGTAAGAATGAGCTCACGTATCATTGGCTTCCCACTGCGTGATAATGCGAATATTGTTCTTAGGCAGGCTAGTGGTAGCATCAAGATAAATAAGTATTATTGCTCATCTTTTTAAGGTACCGAAATGCAACTATCTACAATAAATTTCTTCGATTAATTTACCCATTACAAATTAAGTAGACACAGATTACTCTTACGTTCCTATTTATGGTAACGTTTTTAATTTACACAACTTTTGAGGAATTAATGTATATTTAATATAATAGTGTGGCAGCTTCTCAGAGGAACATACTGAAATCAAGTGGAAAAACAAACAAAAAAAGCACCCATGGCTAGGCAACTAAAAACTGCTTTCGATGCAGAATAAATGAGTGTCTGGATCTATTTTAATGATGGATCACTCTATATGAGTTGAATTTCAATTTTTTAAGGCTAAATGTGGTCGATAATTTAGATTGAACACAATTTCGATCGTATCATTTGAATTCGAGGTTAATGTTTTGTATCAGAATTATTAAATGTTTAATTTTGTTTAAAAAATCACCTTGTATTTTGTTTATTTTATTGTTTAGTTTTATTTCGTGCTGAACTATTAGGGACATTTGAAAATGATTGCGTAGTGTTCTGCAAAAGTTTATCTGTTTTAAATCCGGTCTTGGGATAAGGCGTTCATTACCATTGCGTAAAAGCTAATTAAGTTGAAGATAAGCAGGTGTCCTCCGTAAGTAAAGACAGTTGAATTTATCACAAACGCATATTTGTTGGATACAATAGGGGAGTGGGCTGTGGAACGTCTTTTCTAGGAAATTTGATTGAAGTACAAAATGATAAAGTAGCGTCGGAGGGTGTTAGAAGGGAAGAGTCGTTAAATAAACGAAGCAGACGTTATACGTGGCTTTTTGAAAAGACAGTCAGTCTTGGTGGTTGTAAAGTCGTTATAGAAGAAAGTTTAGATAGTGATTTAAGAGATTTTATTATTTCGTTGTAAAAGTGAATGTTATAATTGGACCGGAAGCGTCGCACAAGTGGAGCCTTTCTCTAACGTTTTTCTTAATACCCAATAAAATGAAGTTTATCCACCACCAAAAAGCCACTATTACATTTCTAATTACAACAAAGCTAATTAGGGAATAAGGAAAAAAACTGTAAATAACATAATATAATATAAATAAACAGTTCGTATCGACACGCGGTTTTCGGCATGGAGGGTTCAGAAAAATACGAAGGAAAGAGCTATTTTTTTGAAAATTGCGCATGGAGTGCAAAAATGAATTTATTATTGCATCTTGTTTGCAAATTTATAAAAATATAAAGAATGCTGAAGAAAATTGATTGGAAATCGTTACTTGTGGATTCTCGTGGTCGCCAAGTCACACCCTCAAAATTGACCGGGGGTACAGTAAGGTGAGAAATTAACCGCGCCAAGAAATTGTTCGGTAATTGTTAGGCGGAGGATTTCGCGGTCAAAAAACGTTATTTTGCGTTATTTAACATTGGAAAAATAACCTTTTCTACAGATGACCTGCACGTTACGTTTAACGTTAGTGAGGCTTCACAGGGCTGATTGTTTGATTCTGTCGAGAACCGTATCAGGTTCATTAAAACTAACAGCTGAGGCGTAAGTGAGAACGCATGGAGATTTAATTGCCATCGTCCCTATTTTATTAATCTCTGGCAACTTCATTTATTAAATTCTGAAATAATTAGGGAACGGATTCCCCTTTAACTACTTAGAGTGGATGTAATTGCGTTTTTTTTCCTTATTGTAAGTACCGCCGTTTGTATTTCATTTACTTGCTGCCATCTGTTATACGAAAATTGCAGCTTCATCTACAATTAGCCCTCTTATTTAAAAGCTATGTACATTTTATGGTGTCAACGAGAGGGATTTCTTTTGAGGCTCAAGTTCTGGCTCGACATTTTAGTTCAAAATCAAATTTACTTTAAGTGAAGGACTAGCTTGAGCTTCAGAGACCCTTCACCTACGATTCTGTTGACGTACGAGTATGCAATTTTGGGTTAAATTCACCGTTGCCTGCGAGTGCCCACACCCTTGACATATCTTCCACATGCTCATAACGAGCGGCCATTTGCTGGAATTGGTTCATCGGGTCATGAACGAGATTTGATATAGGGATTCGATCCCCAAGAAAGAGACAAGTTCCGTAACTTTTTAGCGTATTAGTTAATACCTATTTTGCCCCTTCCAGGTTAAATGCATTCAAGTATTTTGTAAACATTTTTACGCATTTTATATTTTTGCCACCTCGGTTAAGTTATGATCGAGGGGAATATTATTGTAGTCCCCAACTTCTTTATGAAGTGATTAGCCGAATAAGTACCGTCCGTGTTATAGAAGGAGATTACGAGTAGAGCAATGCCTTTCAGGCACTAGTTAATTAATTATATACCGAGCTCTGCGGCTTGAGTGGTTTTTTTTTTATTATTTGCAGGACTTGGATGCGAGAACTGAGCTCACTTCTTGGCGTCAACGTATAATTGATGCAGGGTAATGGTTGCCTTATATGTTTTACTTGTACTTGGTCCTATACGTGCGAATTTATAACAATTTCTTTGTGGAAACTTGTTTTAAGATTCAGTAACCCATTTAGTTCATTCTTGATTTGGGGGTTTGCTAAACTGAGGAATTTCAAATTGTACGTTTAGTGAATTTAATAAGATTTTGTAACATAAGTTATCATTTTGAGTAGTTGGGGGAGTATTTTGAATATTTGTGTGCTACGCTACCCCATTGTGGAGAGAATTTTTAGTTTTGTCATTTGTTTGAATAAACCAGTATTTCTTTTGGTACCTAAATTGATTTTTACTGCTAATACTACTTTTGTATCTTCTCAATTTCATACGGGGAGAGTTAAGATAGAAATTGAGTGGCGCTCAACCATTGGTAAATGTAACGAACGAAACGAACTACCGCTGTGACAGATTAGAAGCTTGTATTTTCTTGTTTAACCCTGAGCTAGTTGGCTGTTTATTCGGTGGGTTTGAGGAAACGGAGCGCCAACTCTGCCAACCGTTATATGGTGATATTTTAAATGGGGTACTTCAAGGACCACACTTTGGACCTCTACAACCGAACGCTACGGTAAGAGATCTTTCTGAACACAAACGAAGCATAATTCTATAGTAAGACATAGGTAGATAATTTGTTTGCCGTTGATCACGTCTTTCAATAAGGACGACAGTAGCAACTGGCATGTGCAGTTACGAAACAGCAAAGTTGGGCGATTTTTTAATGGACATATAGTATCTGCTTCCAATGAAACATGCAATACTAAATCTAACATTTTGTGTAATTAAAGCATTGTATACAATTAATAGATGCCGGTAATTAGTCACGTTTTAATTAAAACGGACACAGTCATTAATCACACTGTTATACCATTTAAAATTTTGATTATCCATGGGTTTGCAACTTTATTACTTGTTATACTGTAAGCACTAAAAGAGAGGATTATAAAAGTTAATTACAAGCTTCATTGTTGCATTGGCAATGAAATGTAATTTTATTACATGTAATGATATAGTTAAACACTAAAAGTAATCGGCAGGCCAGTGCGTAATTTGCTTGTAGGACAAGATGTAATTAACTAACTACATGGTCTAGTTGAGAGAAACAATTTGCATTCTGAAAAACTGGCATAGTGAAATTGTTGGCACATAAGTACGTAGTTCTACCAAGAACGGTACGTACAAAATCAGTCTTCGGCTTTTTAGGTATAATTTGCGTTTAAAAGACAGTTTGACTTAAGAGGTTTAATTATAGGATAGAGTAGAAAAATAAATATTTATTACCTGTCGATTATAATAAATTAATCCGTACGCCATGCTACAGAAATTGGTTTTATCGCCGTAATAGGGATTTGATTATATCCTTCTGGTCTAACGTATTTCATAATCGAGTAAAACTTGTACATCTAATGAGATATTTCCCGACAGTTAGATATTGAAGTATAGTAAAATCCTGAAGATTAAATTACTCGACCAAGATCAGGCATTCCAAAAATGGCACGCTTATTGCAGCTATTAATCAACTATTCGCAGGACTAGTTTGAGAAATTAATGACGATTAGTTGACTAAACAGGTCTCCAAGATTAGCCGGCAATGATCTTTAAAATATGGGAAGTTCGAGCAAACTATTGGGACAAAGAGACTTATTCGGACAAGTGTGCGCTTAAGGAAAAAGGATTCGTTGGAAAACTGAAAGGGTAACAGTAAACCATTTGATGAATAGCACACCCAATGTCATTGTAACGGGCAGACAATACAATCTATTTCCAGGTTTTCGTAAAGTTCACGGTTAGATATTAGACAAAATTGGATCAACAAAGTAGTACCACCATCACCATATGTGGTTCTTACTCACCGCGAAAATTTGTTTTTGTTACATTTCTATAAAGAAATCAATTAATTAAAAGTTTGGGAACTTAACAGGCTAAGGTGTACGCAGGTAAAAATTGTCAAGCAATATCGTGATTGATGCAATGTAAGAAAGAGAAGGAAAGTTTGATCTCAGTCTATCACCCTTTCACCTATTGATCCTTACGGTATTTTTTACGGGAATCGCAGTCGCACGCATTTATACTTCATCGCCACCGTCACACTGCGGATGAAGATTTTCGCAGCATTTCCAAGAAAGTTGAAAATGCACGGCCGAACACCACATAGGATTCTGTAGCCAGTCCGTGTAAAATGCAGTTGGAGGAACAATTTCAAAGGAGCGGTTTCATTTGTTACCAGGTGACCAATATCTAATATGAACTCACTATTACTAAGGAAATACGTCATACGTAAATAAGAAAGTTAACATTGTACAGCTTGCGTGCGCATATTAATCGTCAAGATTTTTCCTAACTTAGAGCTACAGAATACAAAAAGAACGAAGTAAATATATTGAGAACTAGACGGACAGAGAAAGTGGCTACACTCCCCCCCCCCTCCCCCCAATTTCAATGGAAAATGCGCTAAAAATGCTGTTACAAAGATACATTCGCTAGTTATCAAATACACGTGTATTTTGTGTGTTTCTAAATCAATTTCCCCACGTAAATTAAATTACTTGTTCCCTTTGGTCTTTAACGTATTACCTACGAGGTCATTCCTTCTGATAAATACCTGAAAACATGGATGCATGTTGTATATTAGCTAATGGTAACAGGTACGTAATAGTATATTTATATTGTATACCAATGGATTAAGGTGTGTCTTAATCCCGAAGCTGCACCCAGTTTTCAATGACTTTATTACTAGATTAACATAATTCCCCACCTTATTGTTGAGTTTGTAAATAGTTAGTAGACTCTTTAGTTTTTGGCCAAACAAATTTTAACGTTAGCTATTATTATAGCACTTTTGTAATGAAGCAATAACTACACCGGTGTCCTCGGACACAGACAGTTGTCGATATACGCACTCTCTCACATTGCAACTTACCTATAGCGCTTTTCCCTTACACGCATACTTTTCTGCATTACCTGTCATGTAGAATGGCCAACCGAAACGATGAGCTTCTTGGGGAGAAATTTTCGAAAGAAATTTCCAGATTGTCATCGTTTTGTCCGTTGGCCTGTCGGTCTGTTCCTCGTCTAACTCGACAACGAAAGAGACAGCGATGTCAACCTTCGCCAAGTGGTTTGTACGAGTTTAAGGATCAGTGCTATTGAATATGAGCCGTATTAAAAGTCGCGGTTCCTAATTCGGGTTAAAAATTTCCCTACTGAGTCGTATTTTGTTAATATTTATTTTGAATTATAAATAATATAACTCGCCTAAATAATCTTTTGGTTAAAGCTGCATTTGGTCGTGAAGCTATTTTTAATTCACCAATATATTTTGACGGCGGCGGCGTTTAGCTATTCATTGATTTTGTGGTTTGGAAATTTACATATTCTAATAACAATTTGTCAATAGTAAACCAGCAAAATTAAAAAAGGCGTGTAGTGTGTTAATCGATTCTTGTTAATATAATTATTATAATAAGCGACCATGCACAAGTAAATTAAATATAAATAAGCCGTAATTGTCAATCAAGTGAAATAGCCTTTCATCAGCATCAGCATGCCGAGATCAAGTAGAAACATCACACTGTCGCATTATCCCCATTTTAGACTATAAAATTAACATATGGGTTGATTATTACTATTAAGAGTATACTATGCCGTGGATAGATACACCTCATATTCATGTAAATGTTTCCGTTTCTATTTTCTGTCCCGATACAGTTCATATTTAAACTGCTACTTTTACAACCTTACATCAGAGAAAGAAGTGGACCCGCTGATACAACGAGATTGAGTTAATGTATCTTTATGTCTTTGCATGTTCCAAATCCTGTGTATGTCAACAATATTCGCTTTTTGCTCAGCAGAGCATAAAAGGCATTGAAGCTGAACCCATTCACCTACTCGTATAGGAGCTATAACTTATTTAAAATAGCTCAACGTTAGGTAGTGCTTACAAATTATTTCATCATATCCGACGATCAAAAAGTGTGTGAGATTGTAATAAATTTTATTCTCTAGAATCCAATAAATTTATATCCAGCAAGATCTGACATCAGAAAACTAGATAGAGTCATCAAACTCGCAGAGTATGTAACGCTTTGCTGAGTACGAAACCGTGGTTTTTCTATTTTTATGGTAGAATAATATGGTAAAATAACGTAACTGATGAAGTAGATGAAATTGTATTTGCCAAGTCCCCCTTATCTTCGAAACGAATAACCGTGGCCACGTTTGTATCTGTTGGTAAGTTTAACCATTGAATAAAAAAACTAGCTTCCCAAACATAACGACTAGAAACGCTGGTTGGTAAACCGAAGATGTTATTAGTTACAGAAAAAACACTGTTGGTACATTTGTCAACCTAAATACTAATCATAAATTTGATTAGGAGTGTCTCAGTATGCAAATCGTGGATATATTTTGAAATGCTACCGGTTTTTTTGGGTGTTTCATTGACTCGACATACCGAAGAAATATTTCCATCATTTCTTTTAAATGGCCATGAGGTTATTAATTTAAATCGTTATGTACAAAAAATGCTAAATATGCTAGAGAAATGACTTTGGCTTTGCATAATCGTGATGCTAAAATTTATGGCGAAGTAAAGGCAATGTTATTAGATACTTACATCCACTATTATACAACCTTACACGCTAATTTGTTTTAGTGTTAATGTGGAAGAATGTGTTAATCATTTCCTTGAAGTTTGATAAGCATCTTTGTTGATAAATGCGCCACTTTTTGCATCAAAGTTAAAAATTTCCTACTGATTTTTAAGTACGAGAAAGTATGAAAAATTTATAACCAAACTTGATATGGACAGGCTGACCTACGTCGTATTTTAGAGTCAACCGAAAGTCTATTTTATTATTTATTATAGTTTTATGATACAGCCGTTATTATACCTAAATGATTTACAAACAAAGAATCAGTTATCAAATGTCAGCCAAAAAGGTGTGTAGCCTTCGAGACCAGGTGCCAAATTCTTGACAGAATAGCTTCTTAGCTTATATTAGATATTAAAAAAAAAACTTTTTTGGCAGTCTTACATCCTTATTTAATTCTTAAATGCTTAAAATGGCCTAAAACGTCGACATTTGATGAAATTTTGACATGTCCAAAAAATAGCCACCTTCATCTACCTCAAGCTAGCAGTACCTGTTCAGCTAATTCAATTAAACGCAGGTACTAATAAAATCTTATATTCGAAAGGAATATAATTTTTCCAGGGCACGTCCAGTCTCCACGACAACTAAAAATCTCGATAAGGCTTTAATTTTATTAATTTGAGTAAACTCGACAGCCTTGAGCAACTCCACAATTCCAACAAATTGTATCACAAATGTTTATTTCAATACCTGGCGTAGCCCTAGTCGTAATTTGAGCTCGATTAAACACAACATAGAACATTTATATTTGAAACAAATCTATTAGACAAAATCAATGATATAAGGCTGAAATAAAAATAGGCATCCAGGGCTGGAATACACATACCAGACCCCACGCGATTGATTGAAACCTGATTGAAACAATTAATTATAGAAATCTTAATTACCTTAACGTGTATATAATCCAAAATATTCGGCCAATTGCGCTTTCTATAACTGATGCACAGACTCAGACACCAAATTCTTCTAACTTCACTTCTCGTTTGTTGAGGGAACTTGGAGTTATTTGTGTGCATTCAACGACTTTATTTTCTTGAAAGAAAAGAACAATAGTAGTAACTATGTATGCCAGTTTGATTAATATTGACTAATAGTTTTTACCTAAATTATTCAAGTTATAAGTAACAGTTTTACGTTCATTAAAAGCGTGTTTATTGTACCTAACTCTTTTCTCAGCGGTGTTGGATAAATATTCAACCTCCTTTGCACTTGAATCTCGATTTACACGACACTGGCATTCTTTAAATTACAGATGTAAATTTTGCTCTTTGATTGTGGAAAAACTTTAACGAATATGGGAAGGGTTCATCGTAGACAAACGCTTCAGTTTGATTGCAATTAATGACGAAGTAAAATCCTTTTAAAGAACTTCTTCCGCATTCTTCCATAACAACTGTACAACTGACAAGACGGCTGTCTTGTAACCAAATACGGTGAACTATTGCTGATTGCGATTCACAAAAAAAACACCACCAAAAACGTAATGATTAACGTCCGTCTCTCCTATTTAAAACTACTTCTCTTGTTTTTTTAACTTTGCGAACCATTCTTTTCCTTAATACGCCCCTGTTATATTTGGGATTTTAAGATTCAATGTACCTTGTATTTGCCCTCTCTTGTGGCGCAGTTCCGTTAAAGCTGAACTGTGGTGCTAAGGGTCCCTGGTTCGAATCCGGGTTCGGGCATGGATATTTCTAAATGTATAGTGGGTTGGGTTGGTAGATCAACCTTGGCTGAAACCCCGCCCACTCAAAAATAAAGCCAAAATAAAATAAAATATATTTTGGACGCTTGTTTTTGACATCGTAAAAGTTCATTATACTCTGTATGTCTTTACTTTCATACATCCAGCAGCCACCCCCTTGGTTTTTTCAGTGATTAATAACAGGCTGAATCTTCGTGAGTAGGCTGGGTTCGACGAGGCGGAGACGGTCCAGTTTTTCCTCCTCCCGCTTGACCGGGAAAGGGCACATTGAGCGAATTAGCACATTCACACGTACCATTCACACGTACATGGTACGTTGTTTTGCATCAGTTTGTGCATACTAGGTACGTACTTTGTCGTACCTACGTACTGTGTACGGGAGCAAGAAAAGTACATACATAACAGTACGCCGAACGCCAGAGTAAGTACCTAGCATGTACAAAATGTACTAATGTGCTAAAAAACCGTACCGCGTACGTGAAATGTACGTACATGAACCGTAAGTGTACGCTACCCAAAATCGACTTGAAACCTCCATTTTCATGCCTACTTTCTGACAGGAAATTTTAGTTTTCATGACAGAGGCAGAGCAGACTACATTTCCTGCCGCTTGTCACTTTACCGGCCGCGCCTGTCACTTTACTGGCCGCACCTGTGACTGTGACAATGCTTATGTTCACCACACAGTAGATACACTATACCGAATTTAGCCCAGTTCAAGGGCGCTCGCCCCCAGGTCAAGGTGACGTGGCACGTGACCGTGTCCTTGGAATTTAGTTCAAGGTGAAAGTCGCGTTCCATGTGAGCGGTGAATTTGGAAATTAGGTCAAGGTGAAAGTCGTGTGCCACGTCACCTTGAAAAGTAGGTTGTGGTAAAGCTCAAAGGGCAAGTGATTATATTTGTTTTGGGGTGTCAAATTACTTTTAAATGTTAACCAGGGTCATTGACCTCATAAATTGCAAAATCATACTAGGTCCATTGACTCAATAAAATTTCAAGGTCATGCGAGGACATTGTCCCCATTTTTTGGATTGTCAAATTACATTTTTACTATCATCACAGGTCATTGACCCCACACATTTGAAGGTCATCCTAGGACATTTTCTGTGTTGGCAAACATTTCGAACATCAAAAGTTCTATATAAGAATTGAAATAATATTTCGGGTAAAATTTAATACAAAACTCGTCAGTAAAATTACATTACTTCATTTCAAGATTTATGGGTGCTGATATGTTAGCAGATAAAAAATAAATTCATAAATCAACTAATCAAATTACGGGAAAAAAAAGATCAACGATTTAATACTTGCCAATAAATTTATAACGCAAAATTAGCTTTCATGCCCTCCAATTATTCCACCGTACGACCGTCTGATCAACCTTTTGTGTCTCCCAATCATTCTGTTTTCGAAAACTATCATCGAATAGACATCTATGATTTTCCCGATCGCTCCAGAATAGAGAGATCTAGATTTGAATCTGTGTATATGAATAAATAGAATTGACCAAAAATTTCAAAATTAATATGCGCCAATTTTATTTAAGAAAACGTAGAAATGCATACTCTAGATACGCAAGATAGCAGCTTGTTGTTTTACCTTGACGACGTCAATTTTGAGAAAAAGATAACTAAACATTTATTTATACATTAAGTTTTATTGATAAAACCTGCCAAAAGTCATATCTAGATTTTTAATGTCTGCATGTGTAACTTAATTGGGCATAACATTTCGTTTTGAACTTGTGTAGAAAAGGGAAAGATTCAGCAAGATTTGCTTTTTGCGTCACATATTAAAAAATTTCGAATTTAAATTTTTTATAGTAGACAGGAAAAAACACTTCAGATGTATAAATGCTTACTTTTGAAGTATTAATTCTATCAGATTTATAGATATTATATTTATTGTATCGCACACGTAGATTTCCGTGTCAGAAACAACTTCGTAATAGCTTCACATCGAGATTTGAATAATTTTACACAAAGCACACGAAATGCGGTATCTGCACGTCGAATGGAAAGGATTAGACCACAGTAACTAAAGTGAGAACCCACAGTAGAGAGATAGACAAAAGTACACCTGCCATATAGTAATATTAAATATTTCGTTGTTCTGAAACAACAAATAAATTACGTATACCCTGTAATTCATCTTTTTATGTCATTCACGAGAAGAAATTAATTAACGATTCAAAGCATGATTTCGTATATGTAATTATGATCTCAGGTATAAACATTCTAATAAAAATAAGAAAAGTAGTAATTACAAGTTTTCTTGACCCAAATAGATTCATTGTGCAAAAATTATAGTGATCTAAGTTCAAATCAAAGTTCCACCTGACTTTTTCTAGAAAACGAAATAATTACTGTCAAATATTGTTCGTATTTCGCGAGGTTGTCAATTTGGAAATAGTTATGCAAATTTTCCTACACGTATATGTCGCCTGCTGATACCTCTGCCTGTCACTTAGTCGATTATGGGAGAGACATAAAGTGTGTACAGAAGTCTGGAAACTTGTTTTACGTGTACTGCATCTGCAACTGTCAATGTTAAGATATGCATTGCTCCAAACCTACATTATACGTTAAATTGAGGCGTATTGGTGGTGCCGCAAATTATTTATAGTTGACACTATCATTTCGTTCCAGACAATTTAAAAACTACTTAGTGCTTCGGCAATGGGCACGACATTTCTTGTGAAGAATTTGATATTTGTAGTTACCCCTTCAATACATACAAATATCAAGTGTCTTTACGTTAATGATAGGCTTTTTGAACTGAGCTAATACGTTCACAAGTTGATTGCTATTAAATCAAGAAGTTTATCACGTTGAGCGGCTACATGGGCAACTTTTTACGCTTACCATCACCAAGGTGTGGCAATACGTTTTTATTAAATCACAAAACCCATAACAATAAATAATTGGCACAAATGCGCTGCTCCAGTTTTAGTTACCATCCTTGAAGGCGCGTATTGCAGGTAAAGGTACTCCTTTCTTTCTTGTATACGTCAGGAGTGTGATAAAAACAGACCATAAATAAGTATGCAATAATTTAGTCTTGAAAGTTAATTATCTCAATTATAAAATCTGAATTAGACACGATTAGAATTATATCAAGATGTCTCACCAAACATATGGAAATAAAGTGACATATCATAAAGTATACCAAAAAATACATTCATCAATCGCTTTTCGGCTCTGTATGGTAATCGTCCACTTCTCAATCTTTCTGAAAAATAATTGAGTTACTTAGGCAGTCAAAGTTTAATTAATAAGAAACGTTTTTAATGGTCGGCAGCTTAATTCATTAACATAGTTTTGAAAGTATAATTAAAACACATCAACAAATAGCTTAATCCTTCACGGCACTAACCTGCATAACAGTGTCTTTTACACCCAGCAACATAGTTAACTATGTACTATGCGATGTTGTACAATGTTTACATAAAACAATGTGGGACTAGCACTAGTCGTTTATATCTAACTTGCATCAATTGTTCAGTTCCTTTTACGTAAAGATATTTTGTAGTGTCATTAGTGATTGGTGTCTTTCACAAATTAATTCAATGCGTGGTATTATAATGGAATTTAAATGCAAATTCACTGAATTGGCATAATGCCAAAATAAGTCGACAAATCGGAACCTTTAGTGCACATGCATTTGTCACTTTAATGGATTTTAGTGGACAAGCTTCACGTTTGAAACCATCATCGCTCATCAATCATAATTGCTGTAAACTGTAAACGATTACTATTCAAAACGTTGTAGGTGCGTATCTGTATTTCTTTCATCAGTTTTATTTATTTATTTTTTCTTTTTTTATTTATTTATTTTGTCTTTATTTTTGAGTGGATGGGGTTTCAGCCTAAGCTGCTTTACCAACCCACCCCCTATACTTTAACAAATATCCATGCCCGAACCCGGGACCCTTAAGCGCCACAGTCCAGCCTCAACTGAACTGCGCCACACGGGCCGGGTTCAGATAACTGAAAGAATTCCAATCATGTATCTCACAAAATTTCAAGTAATGGTGTCGTTACTGTAATGGAATGTCACCAATGGCATGCTCCTTCCGTCATCATCGTTCAAGTAAATACGCAGATGTAGAGTCCTCCATAATAGACTAAACTAAAACGTAGGTACAATACTGTGCCTGGCAGGAGCCGGCTACCAATTCGCCGGTAACAATTAGCGAACCATTTACGAGTGAATTTTAAAGTTCAAGAGTTTTTAAATACATATATAAGAGCTCCCAATGACTATTGAAATATCCTTAATGAATGTCTTGCTTGCGTAGTTGCATTGTCGAAACGATTAGTGAAAATGTCTAATGCATTCCATGTCTGATTATATTTTGATACACTCAATTAATGTCGTTTTTGCACTTGTTCAGGATTTCCCTTATCGGGAAATTTTAGAGTAGAGTAGGAGAAAATGTATACATATACCGCTTTATAGCGAACATGAACAAAAGTATGTCTGTTAATAACACGAACCGTATTAGGAAAAGCGAGCGAGGAACATTTTCGAATCGAAGAACCGCCTTTTAAATGAAAAACGGGATTATATAAACTGGCATTGCGATAAGAAAAGAGGTGTTGTACTCGGATAGCTAACAGTAATGGCTGGTTAAACGTAAGTTCCTTAAAGTATTTGGACAGCGCCTTGAGCGATAAATAAAATGTTGTATAATCGGTGCATTTACCCACAACGAAACCCACAAAGATAACGTTACCGGGGCAGGGCTAAGGCCAAAAAGTCAACTGTACCATCGAATCCCTCTCTTTCCATATTTATAAAGGAAGCGGCATTTTCCAAGGAGAGAAAAATCAATTTGTTACTAGAAAAGAATATTACCCACCTCAATATAAATTTTTTTTGTATAATAATAATATCTATTTCTTTAAAAATTGTTGTTACAATTATAGAAGCGTCAGGTACATACATATCACAGATTAATTAGGATCAAATGAGTTTTGAAACTCTTGTACAAATTCGTTAATACTGTAAAATGCCCTCTTTTGTAAGGACCACTTGACTAGTTTTTTTTAAATTGTTGTATACTACTTGTAATATTTAATGGAAGTAGATTAAATAATTTAGTTCCCATTTACTTGCACGCAGCCTGCTTTTATTATAAACTATTAATGAATAAAACGCCCCCTTATCTCTGTAACAAGTTAAAATTTCGAACTGATGTTCATACCTTAAATTTACGCTATAAAGGGCTACTTACACCACCAATTCATGCAACGGCATTTGAGATGTTATAATTTAACGTAATGGTTTAATACATTAGATATGGACATCAGTAAGTACACTTTCAAAACATTTAAAGCTCGCATTATTTCGGAGTTGCTACGGCAAAAATAATTATTAGAGCATTATTCTATTTTGTTTCTTATATATCTATTTTTATATCTTTCCTGTGATTCAATGTCTTGTAAAACCCGTGTTGCTATACCTACTAATGACCACATTTCTCTACACAGACGGATCAAAGCGAAACTCCCAAACTGGCGCAGCACTAGTAATGGATTCATCAAACCAACAATTCCACCTTCCCAACTTTACATCAACATATACAGCAGAAGCATTTTGTGTCTTAAAAGCGGTACAGTTCATTAATCAAGCAACTAAAAATAACTATGTAATATGTACAGACTCCCTAAGTACCATCCTAAGTATTAAATCCGCGTATCCCACTAATCCCATAATCCAGAAAATACAGGACAGTATACATCAATCACTCACACAATCCAATACCATAACTATCCTTTGGGTACCATCTCATTGCGGCATTAGAGGGAATGAAGAGGCAGACACCTTGGCAAAAGAAGGAGCAACTCTAACTGACATACTTCACCTCCCTATACCATCCAGGGATCTCGTTAATACAGTTAAACAAAAAATGAAAGAAAAACTGCAACACCAATGGAGTCAAACTACCAATAATCAGTTAAGGAAAATAAAACCAAGCTTAAAACCATGGAAAATGAACGGAACCAGAAGAGAAAGAGTAGCGGCCACAAGGTTAAGGATCGGTCATACCCTATTGACACACGACTTCATCTTCCAAAAAATTGAGCCAACGCAATGCACCACATGCGGTACTCGACTTACCATTGAACACATACTGACTGAATGTAGAAGCTTCGACCAACAACGTATAACATGCAAACTACCGCCTACCCTCACGGAATGTCTAGGAAACGACAACATACATAAAGCCTTAACCTACCTGAAAACCATCAACTTGTTCGGCAGACTGTGACCAACACATCATGTACCTACCAATGTGAAATATGTTTAACTGTAATTTACATCATTACCTCTACTGTACTCACCATCATGCACAATGTTCATAATGTTATCTTTCTTACCACATCATATTGCATAAACTAGTGTATTCACGTATTTGTACTTACCAAGCCGGAGCACCAATAATCTATGTAATTGAGGGGCTCCTAAATATATAAATAACTAAAAAAAAAAAACATTGTCTATTAAGTTATAATCATTATGGGTTAGATGAAAGAGCAGGGGTAGACTTTCTACTCCTGAATCTCGCCCTTGGCAGTTATTACTTTTATTATTATTATAATAGGGAGATTGTTCAAAGAAAGCATGTTTTGCCACATATTGGCAAGATAAGTAAGTATAAAGTAGTGGTCAATTATTGTTAGGAATATTAATTTTGTTAGAAGTCATTTTAATATTCCTAAAGGAATCGACCACTGAAAATTACTTGCAATGGAACAGATTTGTATTGCGTTTGTTGATAAGAATCGAATCCAAATAAGGTATATAGGTTATTTTATTTAGCATTCAGTGTTGTGTGGTGATATATTTCAATCACTTACAGTCATATGCGTATTTATTCGAGTTCCATCAAACCAGAGCATTAGATTTTGAATTTCAGGTTTAAAGAGGAGATGAAGGGTCAAACTTCCGCAAAATATTTTTATTACTGAGCGAGCCGTGGATAAATTAAAAAAATCATTGTCATTTTTGCCAGCATCGTAGAGGTCCAATTATATTTTATGCAAGTGAGGTTTACGGTCCTTGTAAATGTTACTAAGACAAAAAAAGCCCAAAAGTAAGCTTACTAAGTGTACTTCTTCTGGTAAGTACCTCGTGTCAATTCTACTTATTTTGTGTCATCCTATGCTTTTTCTCATTTTTACTTTCCCTTATTAATTTCTATGAATCCTTATTACTTCTGTAGGGTGCTGGCATGCAAAAGACTACTGTAAATTACCTACCCTACATATTTCATAGAATGGGGGAAATAAGTGTAAGAGCGATATTTTATGGTGATCTTTAATAATGAAAAAGTACAATGTGAACGCAACCCCTATTTGAAAAATGTAGCAAACCGGCTAGTCAGAGGGCCGATGCGGGATGTGTATCCTATATAAGATAAGCCTAAAGATGTTGGAAGTAAATCACCTGTAATCGCGTTCTATAAACCGAAGGCTAGTTATTTTGACAGTTCAAGGAGCCGTCGTTAAAATTTGGATTAGGAAGAGCTACCGGAAGTTATTTTGCTATAGCTGTGCTATAGTTATAAGTTCAAGTTTGTGCGTTAACAGTTTGTATGCCTTTACAGGGTTAATGTGAAATTGGATACTTTCAATAAAAACGAGTACACTTTCAATTTTCTTTCTAGGGTTACATCGGCATATTTATTGGGGAGAAAATCCAATTTCTTTTTTTCTTCCCCTTTGTTACCTTGTTTGTACCTGGTTACCGGTCAACTTCATTGGATCAAGTAGTTTGATCGGCGAATTGCAATTTCTCTCATAATTCAACGCACAAAGGCATTCCCATTTTAGGACTTGCGCTAGGAAAAGGAATGTTAATACATCTCCTTCAAAGAATGTTAACAGTAAGTAAGTATAACACAATTGCGTCATTTAATCTTAACCTTCCGTAGCAAACGGGAACATGAATAATTCAAAATGTCGCAGACTGTATAAATTTAAGCAAAAGCGAGATTTGTATCCAGCGAGACGTTTATAAAGAAGACATTAAATACGTGCAACTTTTAAGGATTGGTAGCATAAAATTAACTAACGAAAATAGTGCAGTATCATGAGCATGACATTGCTAAATTGTTTAATTATGTAAAACGCGTTACAGATTAAGTGAATTGCTAAAACGAACCTTGTTAAATATCGGTTTGCTTTGAAGGAGGTAATAAATCAATAAGCATGAACGGTTTTCTTAAAAGAACTCGGTTACATAAACGCTGTTAATATACTCCTATACAATTAGCTTCTGTTGTATCGTATGCCAGACAGTAGGGCATCCTTTCTATTTTTGACGTACCTACGACAACCTATTTTCAATTGAAACTTAAAAGTAAGTCCACCACATTCACTCTACATTTTCATTTCGATTTCAGGGCACATAAGATTTAGGTCACAAATCCTTTTTAATTAACAAAATTTATAATTACATATCATGCCGAAGCTAAGAACAGATTTAAAATTAATGTGTAATACACGAATTGACCTGAGGAAGTCACGCAGCGTGACCTGCAAGGGAATTAAACAGCAAAAGCTAAGTGGAAGTGAGAATTACACGCTTTCAACGCCAACTTTTGAAAATAATTACGTGCGTGCAACACGACTGATTTTGTAAAAAATAACAAATCTCTGGTATGAATCCGGCCATCAGCAATCGTATGCGAAGATCGCCGTTCTTCTTTTTCCTCGCGGTATGAAGAAGATGATTGATACACGCTGTCATTTGTTTCGTGTCTCGCATGAAGAAACCGTACAGGTGGATTACAGTGACATTCTTAAAAAAGGAATGGAACTATGCCGCGAACAGGTATAGTAGTTAAATAAGTCTTCGGTTAACCTTTTGGTTATCATTACGAATAAATCTGAATGTATCAATCATGCTGTCAATGATAAACGTACTTTAATAAATTATTAGTTGTGGTTTGATATTAACAAACACTTAATTACCTGTATGGCTCAGTCAAGATACATTACATCAAATCATCCTATCAACAGCTAATTTTATAATATTAAGTAGATTTAGTAGGCTGAAAAATAGATAAAGAATGTGTACACACTTTGGCCATTTGTACCAAACACTATACGTAATCGTTTCAACTGATGGTAGCTTTATTAATGAAACTGTACAGCAAGATTTAATTTAATTAATCTGAGTTAATTTCATGTAATTCATTGATTGATTACCGTTTGTAAAAAAGTTGTCCATACATTGGATTATGTATCGTTTTCGTTAATTATTAACTTTCTATTTTTGTTACTATAGCAGTGGATCATTTATCATTATTAAACCAGCAAGTACCAAAATCTCATTGTTTGCAATGACTAATCAGTCAATAACACTTAAAAATTACAAAAGTCACATTTGGGAATAAAAGAGATTTGCGAAAGGAGCGCAAGCGATAAAACAATTAAATTTTATTGAAAATAGAAAGGAAACGCTTACAGATTTGTCATTATTGAAGGTTCTATCTTCTATCTTTTGGATATTCGTAAAGAACTTTTTATTTTGGGTAGGTACATCGAATTAATTGAGAGGCTGTGAATTTTCTTCTGAGTTGAGCTTTTGAGTTTTTTAATTAAAAAAATTCACAGATTTCGCAATCCATGCAACCATCGGAAACGTTGAAAATGATAAACGTATAAACGCCATATGTAAACACAAATAAGCCTTATTCACCCGGGATCACGGGCTCCACTCGCTCGCTCGTGTTGCAAACTCAAAGGAGATGTGTAAGAATTTTAGATTGAAATTGACAAAACAATTGCGCACTGTTAAGTAAGTACCGCATAGACAGTATCCGATATCGCCAATAGCAACAATATGGAATATCGCTATATTAACCAGAGCGCCAAATGCCACAATCCATTAAACGGCATTCAGAGTAAATAATAAAATGAGATTAAATACATGATTAAGCAACCCGAAGACTGGAAGAAATTTTCCCATGAAAATGTCCATGAATTACCATTTAATGCAGGCGAAACTGGTATTCGAATTTGTGTGTAAATCTGGCTTAGTTTTGTATAGAAACATGTATGAAATTGCATATGGACCGGAAAATAGGCCAATAAGTTTATTGACAAAACTGTTTATATTTAAATTTTTCTTTTTTTCTCTTGGATCCATCTAATCCACTTCTCTCCTCTTCTCCCCTCTTCCAGCATCTCACCCCTGCTTCCCCTTGCAATTTCCACCTTTTTGCAGTCCTATAACATGTGCTATATGTTTTCCTTTTCTTCACAGATTATACATACTCGCTTATTATAGTTCCTTGTAACTACTGTAACTTCCTCGTGATCTCTCCATCTTCACCCTCTGTTGGTGTACTTGTGCATCAATCTCCTTTTTTTTCAACTCATCATCCATCCTTTCACATATTTCTCTCCTCCGGTCGACCTCAGCTCGTCCGTATCTAGTGCTTTCATAGTATTTTTCATTTGTTATTCCTCGTCGCCAAGCATTCTTTTACTAACTCGTTTTCTCTTCCATTCCCTTCCTTGAATCTTATCGTGCGTCCAAACCCTATCCACTATCCTTATCTTCTCCACGTTTGCTTCCTCCTTTATACAATATAATTTGGTGTCTTTCCGTATCTGTATAACCCTAATGCCTATTTATAATACCTTCTTTGTATTCTTGTTCATCCCATTCCTTTCATCCCCACATCTCCGTTCCATGCATAATCACCCTTGTTACAATTGCATCAAACAGCTACTTATTCCTTATTCTGAAGACATTCTTGAAATTCGTCTCTCCTATTCCTATGCCTTTCTCATCGCTACTACTCCCTTCCTTCTTAGTTCTGTTATTTGCGCATTTGCCCCATTATTTTTATGCATTTGATACCCTAAGTATTTAACTTCTTTTACCTCCCCTATTCTTTCATCCCTCATTTTTCCTTACATCTCCAATTTTCCTTTCCCAACCCAACACTCATCGTCTTCAACTTTTCTACATTTAATTCCATTCCTTTCCTTTCTCAATACCCCTTCATCTGTTCTACCTCTGTTGCCATTGTCACGGCGTCGTACCCATATGCCAGAGACAATATCTTCCTTCTTCTCATTACGATTCCCCCACCTCGGCTTTGTCTGAAAATTTTTCCCATGTCTCTTATGTACAAATTAAAGGTTGGGCTAACTTCAAATCTTAGTACTTTACACGTCCACAACACTTACGATTCCTTCTCTTAATGTTGTCTTTCCGCTGTCTTTAAGTCCATGAAAAACGCAATCACCTTTCCGATCCTATTTCTATCACATACAGTCAATTGTTCCTCTCCTTTTTCTGAAGCCAATTTGTGTTTTCTCCAACATTCTCTTCTTTTCTGTCTCTTTCTAGTCTTTCATTCTATATGCCGTGGTCATTATCGTAATACCCCTACAATTTTACATACAGCCCTTATCGCTCCTTTTGAAAGTCAGCACTATTACCCTCTCCTTTTTATATCTTGTTTACTAGCTTCCTTACCCTATCTGTGGGGAAAATCCAAGCCTCATTTCCTATTTCATGCTCTTTCTCCTGCATTCTTGGTGGTACTAATAAAATGTTATTTAAATTTAATTCTATCTAAATGTATTTCTCTCTCACTCGTTTTATTTTTCTTTTCCTCTGTTAATCACTT